ATGCATCTTAGTGATAAGCGTAATCTCTGATTCACAGTGCAAGCTAAATAAGGGCAGATTTCATGGGTCAATGCATTTGTTGTTAGAAAAATATAGTATGTCCCTGAAAAGCAACATGGGGATTTTAATTTTGGCCCAAACACAGATGAAGGGAGAGAAAGAAGCAAGAAAGAAAAAGATCCTCTGTGTATATATCAGACAGTCACATTCACAAACACGCACACACACACACATACACCTTGCCCAGGTCCCCGAAGCTAATTAAAGGGAAGGTAGGCGAGCAGAGATGTGATAACTCTGTGAATCATGTAGAATAGTTGTAATGGGTGACCTTTTTTCTCTCCTCATGCGGCAGGCAGAAATCTCATTTGAGAGCGAGCCATTCCAATTTGCTGCGGCGAAGCAGGTGTCAAAGTCTCAAGCAGGCAGAAAAACATCCCTTGGTGCCTTCTCTTTTGTTTGAGATCATGTGATGCCCTGTGTGAAAATGCAAAGAGCTACAAAGTCTACTGAAACAGGGGGTTTGTATTTCAGCTTTAGGTACCTCTTTCATTCGTCTCTTCTTCTCCTGCACTTTGACTTAATGTGAAGAAGCAGAAACAGTGTTTTCTATCTCCATGTTATGTGTATAGAAAGGATTATGTTAGTGATCAGAGCAAACATGAGAATTATAAACACAGTCCATCTTCATTAGGCTGCGGGCCAGATATTACTGGGCTGGACAGCCTGGAATGTTTGGTCGTCCATTTAGCCAAGGGCAGGAGCAGAAGGGCTGCTGTGCAGGGCTCCAACTCCCTTTGATCCTCTGAAAGTGTGTGTGTGTGTGTGTGTCTGTGCGCGCGAGAGTGCAATGCAATTTCACAACCCAAGTACACCAGCTGGTCCACGTTAAAGTTCCAAGGTAACCATGGCGCCCTGCGGCTGGTGGAGGGTGTGTGTATGTTAGTGTGTGTGCGTTTGAATGTGTGTGTGATAACATGTGGTATACGTTTGGATGCGCTCCTCCACCCCCTCGCCCCTTTGGCTTTGACTTTTAAGGAGTTTTAACGCTGAGTTTTTGCCTCTATCAGGTAAACAGGATACGGGTCACTGATAAAACAGTATATACACATAGACAGTCTACCGCCATGAGAGAATATATGTGAATTCCACTTGCCACTGAATTTCTAGGATTGTGTCACCAAAAATAGCTTCCCATGTGTTACCTCAAATGTGTAGAGTCATGTTGAGCTGGGCTGATTTCATAAGTGGTTTGCTTCAGAGTTTATTTAAGTGGCTGGTATTGTATAAAAAAATACAAATACATACATTGTGAGATATTAGACTGTTATTACCAGAAAAGCTACAATAACATAAATGGGGTTTCACAGTTGGATGACCACTGTAGATCTAGATAATCATATTTTATCATATACACAGTTATAATCAGTTAATAGCTTTAGGATCAGGTGTAGCAGTGTGGTGTGGGGAAGATAATCACTTAGAAATAAGATGCACAATTTGTACTGTGACCTCGAGTCGGTTTTCTACATGCTATGATCAGTTAACACAGTGGTTCCCAAACTTTTTTTGCTAGACCCCCCTCAAACATTTAGTAAACAATTAAGCAAATACAAGTAATCTGCAATAAATTACAGGTAGTAAGAAAATTAACTAACTCTTTTATGCAAGTCCGCGCCTACACGGCTATTTTCGAAAACGCAGCTGTTTCGTCCACACGTAAACGGCGTTTCGAATCACCGAAAACTGAGATTTTTTAAAACTCCTTTTTTGCGTTTACATGTGGACGAGGAATACAGAGTTCGTCATGCAACGTTAAAGGTATGTGCCTCTTTTCACGTCATGCTGTGCGCCACGTTGTTGTTTACATGAGACGAATTGCAAAATGGCAGATAGTCAGATTAACAGTATTTTGTCTCTATCTTCAGGTTTTACACGCTTACATATACACACGCAGTTACTGTCCCTCTATTTACAAAGGCAGAGGCGTCACGGTGTAATTATTTTACATGTAGTTGTTTTTTTCCTGTGTAATAATATTCAACATTGCTATCAATACATTTTTCAAAAAATGCCTCTCTGTGCAAAATGGGTTCAAAAACATAAACAACTGTGGGATAATGTTTGTCCGTGATTTAGACAGGGGGAACAAATCGTGGCAGGATCAGCCTGATATTATTTGTATCCCACTGTAACTTTACTGTATAAAGAGCTAACATCTCCAAAATGTCAGGAGTAGTTAGTCATTACAACAAGGGTTTGTGAACTAAAAATCAAGAATGTGGGATACTGTTTGTCCGTGATTTGAAGAGCCCAGCGCTGCTCCCGACGAAGGGAAAACCAATTCTGCAGGGGAGACCTATCTTGGCACTTGTGCCGGTGAAGCCAAAGGGAAGATATGCTAAGTCTTTGGCTTAGAATGAAGTTGGTTTGGAAACATATTCAGCGATGCTTCATCTCTTGCTTTGCGTTTGTGGAGGCGCCCCGTGCTAGCAGTGTCCAAGCGTTGGTTTTTTTTTCCCCTTCTCATACCGCGCCCCCCTGTAATGGCTCTAGGGGGCGGGCCCCACACTTTGGGAAGGTCTGAGTTAACAGTGCTGCCTCTACTGTTCTGAGGTTTACTACTCTTCATGCATAAGGCTAACTGAATTCAACAAGAGATAAGCAAATGTTGCATGGGCAATAATAGCTGCTTTCTGACCCTTAGAGAATATCAAGCTAGTATAAAAGATGGAATTAGGTGAGTGGCTTAATCATCAGGTTAAATTATAATGATGCACACTACTCGTGATGGGACTTGGACCTTGAACGCAGCGGCCTACTCTACACCATGTCTACATAGCTCGTTGCTGTGAACTGTATATTCATTCAAAAAAACAAAAACCCACAACCATCACATATAGATCAAAAATCTAGCATGAGCTACAAAATTATGTAAGATTTAAGTTTACAGTTAATCAAACTTTTGCTGAGCAGTCCTTACCTTTGAGGATATTGTCTGGATGCAGGTAAGGAAATCCCAGAAAACTGATCTGTTCATGTGGACATCACAGCTTTGAGTTCTCCCACTGAGAACTCAACATCCAGATGAACAGAATCAACTTTCTGGGCTTTGAGAATAACCTCTGATCTTCCTCTGCTGACCTCTTTCTTTCATCTTTCTCCATCTCTGAGATCTCACACATTAATGTTTGTACTTTTTTTTTTTTACACCTCTGGGTAAATACAGCATCCATACATTTAGCTAGCAGACAAACTGTCATCCAACGTGTACAGAAACACTTTGTGTGTTTGCTGATATTTTTTGAGCTGTTTGGAAAAGTTATATTTTAAATCATCTGTGACTTCCTGCGTTTATTCTCCCTTCTCTGCTGAAGTACAGCACCCACAACTTTACTGACATTTACATTATGAATGCACAACAGGGATGAGAAGGAAAAAAAGACTTGCTAAGGATGTAAGCAGGACATGGGAAGACATTACTTTCTTATTACTGAGTAAGTATCTTCTTGTCGGCAGCAGGAAGTACATAAAACATTAACTCAGTCAACAGACAGATTGATAAAAAATATTATCAGATTTTAGTGGATGTGTGTACACTATTAATTAAGATCCCATTCTGTAAGGTATTCTTTTCTACTGCACGCGGCAGTGTGGCTGTGACTTTATCTTTTATCTACTGCACTAGGTGATGGTACTTGTCTAAGGCCTTCTCCACCATACATCATGTCTATAAACGGAGCTAGAGCAGCATTGTATAGATCTCATCTTTCATGTCCTTGCACAAATATTTAAGGTTTAGAGAAGGTCATATTATCTTCTAAATGTTCTGTTTACATAGATAATAATGGGGTCAGTCAAAGTGCCCACAGTAACAAAACTGTATTGGACACTGATAAACAAATGCATACTCATAGCTCAGCTATGCAAAAAACAAAAAACGAAACAACAACCCCTGTTTAGTACAAGTATTGAGACCATTGAAAATCTCAAACCCTAATTTCTCAGAGTATATAAACGGTCCTCGTCATGTTTCCTGTTTCCATATATGTGATCGGTGCCACTGTTGAGCAACCAAAAATGATTCAAAAGGGAAAATGCTGAAAAGACTGGAAGGCAGAAAACACTCAACAGTTCTTATAATGCCGCACGACTGCGCATTGTGCTTGATGATCTCTGTTTACACCTGATTGCCTCACCATAGAGGTTCACAAACTCAGAAAATGTACAAATCTGTGGATGCTCCACAAACAAATGACCAGAACTCCATAACATACACTGGAAATACATTGTTGAAGAGCAACACAATCCTTTCTTCTCTCTAAGCAACTTTCCAATGAGATGTATATTCAGTTTCAAGTTTAGACCCTGATAGAGAGCTGACAATTTTAATGTAGTTTAAAAGGCTGCCTAGCCCTACACAGCTGCCATGTTTGTCTTGTGCTTTAGTAACAGTTGTTGGGTTTCATAGGGATACGTCAGCTGTTTGTGACATGTATTGGTTTGAACCTCAAAGAGCTACTTTTGTCTCATTAGTTCTGAAAACTACAGTGAGCATTTGTAACTTTCGGAGCTACATTTGTGTTTTCGTGTATCATGTTGCTTCCTCAGGTATATCACTTCAGCTGACAGAAAAAAAGAAAACCTTGTGGTCTACCCAAAGGTTGTCACTTTCAAAGCACAAAGTGCACAAACATGCAATAGCCCTCAATCCCTGGAACTGCTGTGACTTTCTGCTTCTTTAAGTAAACAGCCCAAGGCCGCTGCCTCTCATATGGCCATGAGCTTCCTACAATGATGAAAGAGCTTTTAGGTTTTCTACGTTTTACATTTTAATTGCGCATGTTGCACCTTCACTAGCTTTTTAAATTGTTTTATGAACACGAAACTAGTAAAATCCAGTTCATCAAAGCTATTTTGGCACCACTGAGATCATAATACATGTTCCTAACACACGAAACACCAAAAACAGTTTTAACCAAACTCCTCACTGACATCATGAAGATGTTTAATCTTTTTTTTGAAATGAAAAATCATCCTATCAAGCTGTCCACTGTGGAGAGAAAAATCTAATGAAAATATAGTGCTACATATTGATAATGATATACTGTATCTTTCTATTCCTACCTAATCAGAGGCAGAATACAGTGCAGAGTCTCCCCTCTCTCCTGCCATGACAGCCACAATTCATCACAGCTTTAATTTAGTCTGTTACTGGGGTGTCGATAGGACGCACACTGCCTGGCGACCCTCTTTCACACACACATGCAAGTCCAAGCACACACGCATGCAGGGAACTGCATGTTTACGCATGTTCCATCCACAGCACGCACACTTATGACACTTACGGAGAAGCGTCTACCCCCAGCATTTCATCTTTGTTGCAATAACCGCACGCACAAAAATGTACAGATATACACTGCAGTCCATATCCTTCCATCGTCCAGCAGCACTATCTGTTATGTGTTTGGATGTGGCCCCTGGCTCAAGGCCCTTCTCCCTCGATATATCATCAGTCATTTGAAGCAATTAAGCACTTCTCAATGAGAATAGCCCGCTCTTCCTTGAGCAAGACGGAGAGGAGCGATTCACAAAGCCATTTTCTACCAAATCCTATTAAAGGTGGGGAAGGGAGGGAGGGGGAAAACGAGGTTGAAGACTTAAAATGGAGGGCTTTTATTTAAGGACTAGGAGGTATTACAGGCCAGATTACTCCTGGCTTATGTTCCTAGTCTGGGAAATTACATTCCCACTTTTTTTGGGGAGTACCAAGGCTTTGGAGTTGAAGATGAGAATCACCTTAAGTCGCTCTTGTTTTTCACTTCTCCACTTCAATGGCTTGTACTTGTTCTTGTTGTTGTGTTTTGCTAGAAAGATTTCTGTTTTTCCACTTTTATTGGCACCTACTGAGCTTTTCGATACCTCTTGGGCTGTGTTTTGGGGGCTAGGGTTTATGTCAATTCTATCCGGTTCTTTCAAGGGAAATTACTTTTTCATTCCAAGATCTAGTCTTAATTATTGATAGCAAGGAAAAGACATGAGCAAAAATTTCATAGGATAAAACCGTTGCGCTTCAATCTCAGCAGGGTTTAAAATCATACACCATATAAACACAGCTGCGAGTCATCATATAAATAAAAACACCAACAGAGAATCTCTGTTTTCATTGTGCTATTCATTCTTTAAGTTTCAGGTTTCCACCGTTAAGTTTTGTGAGATGACCCTATGTTAAATTCACACATGGACATAATCATTTTAACTAAGTGAACTTAATTGTTTAAAACACAAGTCATGACCTATAATTTCCCTAAACTTCGTCTAGGGGCTAAATATACATTAAAATGCTTTGCTCGTGTTACATAAACAGTACATAAACAACTATAAACTCACACACGGTGATCTTAAAAGGATTCAAAACAATGAAGTACAGATGCTTCGACAGTTTCATGTATCTGAGATATTTTTGTGAAAAACAACAATAACCCCCAGCTGCGTTAATTACCACTAAGTTAAGATAAAATCTAACGGCCACATCAGAACTGATCACTACACATCTGGACTGGAGCGACTTGAGTCCTTTATTGTGAAAAACCTGGGGTCTATTGGGAAATTATATGACATGGTAATTGAACAGTTTGCCACCATGAAGGACAAGAAAATGGCTTTCATACTAGAGCGTGTAAAATGTTACTCTCCTCCTCTATCTGTGGCTTCACTGAGAATAATACAAGGGAAACAAAATGTGGCGCTCAGATGTTGAGTAAATTCCTTATTTGGTTAAATCAAAAGGGTTCAACCGAACTGTTTCATTGCTAATTAATTATTTCCCAGTGATTAGACTGCTCCCTATGTCTCCCTACAAGAACGTGTCAAAAATCATTAAAATGTTTAACATATTTAACAGTCTTATCTTGACCAACCATCAAAATTGAAAATACAATTGTTTCCAATTATATTAAACAGAGGTCTTGTTATGCTTTTAGTATGTTAACAAGTGTGGTAGGTATGAAGGAAAGGTCTTGCATTTATCTTAAAATAAAGTGAAAATTCGATTGACTTTCTGCCACAGAAAATGCAAATAAGCTTCCTTTTTTTTTAAACTTTTTTTGTATCGTAGTAGGTTATAAACTTTGCAAAAGACTGTATGTATCCTAACCTTGCACATTGATGATCTTCGTCCGGTGTCGACACATGAACCACTTCTCTTGAGGGTTGAATTCTGAAAAAACCCCACAAACACATACAAAAGTAACTAGTTTAATTTCCATAAGATTGCACATTATACCTGTTTGTCTCTCTCTCTGTCTTTTTATTGACTTTGGCTAATTAAAATGTGCCCCACCCACTAGTCAACAGTTCAGTGGTTTGATCTCTAGCTCCTCCATCGCATTTGTCAGAGTGTCCTTGAGCAAGCTACAATGCCCCAATGCTTGCGTTCGTGTGTAGATGGATGAATTTGGCTTGTAGTGTAAAAAAGTACATGCAGAGGTGAGAGGAAAGTAAGAGTACAAAAGCACAATATAATATAAATAAAAAATACTATTAATACTATTTACCTTTTTTTAACTACTTCTTTAACTTCTCCAGTAACAAGCCAATAGTATTCCAAGATCTGGTCATCTCTGTCAGAACGGTACCCTCAGTCTGATGCCATATGGTATGTGACCACAATTTATAACCTCTACTGATCTCAGAGATTTTGTAAAATCATTATTCTCTCCGTGGATCAACCTTTGTGCAACCAAAGCTTTCTTCCCTCCAATTTTGGTTTTTCTAACTCACGGCACATTTGCTATTGTACTCGCAGCCAAGGCAGCCTGTCTTCACCTTGACAAAAGGGTCGAAATTTTTCAAAACACTGAAATAATATGCATGAAGGCATGCACATCACAGTATGTACGAGACCACTGATGTATATGAACACGGGCATATGTATGTGCAAACTCTCCGTACTGTATATGTGCGCTCCCCCTTGCCAAACTGTAAAACAGGTTTGGGGTTTATTTTTGTTGTGTGAAAGCAAGGCTCAGTACTGCTAAAACCCACATCTGCAAAGAATAGACCTACTCATTTGGCGTTAATCAAAACAGCCTGACTTTATTCATGTAACTGCAGTGATCTGCAGGCCTCTGGCAAGAGCAGAGAGAAAGAAAACACAGATGTGTGCACATTATACACACACACAGACTTGCACACACACACACACACACACATTTGAATAAAAGGTCAAATAGCTTTATCAATAACTGTGGAAAATGTGTTTTGTGAGAAGAAGGAGCAGCTGATCTGACAGTGGCCACCGCCCTGATGAATAACCGCCAGGAGAATCAATAGGAAAGAGGAGTTGAGGTGGAGTGGGGGAGCGTTTTGTCATCCAACGGTACACTCCAATATCTAAGCTCATCCATCAAAGGCAGCAATGGCACTTCGTCCTCCGCTTTAATTGAAAGCACACTGAAACAAGTTATTTACATGACGGGATGGATTTGAACGGGTGCACGTCAACTGGCAGCTTTGCTGTTATGTGCTTGCTAAATGTTTGTTTCATGAGCTGCGAGCTGACGCTTCACTGTCTGCGAGCACGGTTGACTGTCAGCTAACAATGGAAATGCAGACAAATAGTCAAACATCAAGTTTGACACAAAAGCTGTTTTTTGTTTGTTTGTTTGTTTGTTTGCTTTAATAGGTATACGGCTCCTATACACCCGTCTTGACTATCAAAAAGCCGCCTTCACGAAATGGCAGTGTGCAAAATCCTGACAAATGGGTCACCATAAAACAGCAAAATGTATTTGAAAAATGACGATAATTTGAAATCCACACAAAAAAGGCAACCAGGCATCTTTTTCACTGGAGGTTTTCAAATATACCCCCTTTGGCAGCATATATGGACTGAATTTAAGTTGGCTGGCATTAAAGATACTGAAGGAATTTAATTTAATTTGAATTTACATATGCCATAAGCTAAACGACATCAAATTTGATTATTTGTGACTTTCAGTTTATTTGGGCTTTTTGAATATAAGCTCATATATTTTGAACATCTGCCTTTCCCTGCGTTTGATCTCTTGCATATTCACCAAATAACAATTCATTAACTGTGCTACATATTTCTAATCATATCACAGTTATACCTGTGTGTGAGGATGAAGACGTGTGCATTCCCATGGAGAGTTTTCTCTCAGTAGATCTAGAATCAGTAAAAGACAGCAGATTTCTTTCTCCTTTGGGTTCATTCCATAAATGGAGTATCAGATGCTGGTGGTAGTTTAAGAAAAAATAACCCTCACAGCCTTACCAGTTGCTGCTTCTTCTCATCTTGAGTTTAGTAAAAACTTGCTTGCATTGCCAACATATGAAGAGTTAGCTGGTCAGATAAGTCAAAACAGTCCTAAATATTTCAGCCTCCGTATGTAGAGCGGGCAGGAATGCCAACATTTTTCCAAAACCCTGTCAAAATCATCCTTTTCAAAGTTGTGGGAGGTCCAAGCAAGTGATGTACCGCTCTGTATCATATTTGCCCTGGGTGACCCAGTCTGAACTCCAGATGCTACTGTGTGTCACCATGTCACAACCAGAGCCAAAAAGGCCAGGGGGAGGAGAGCCTGTCTGCCTGGAAGCCAGTTAACATCTGTCGAGCATATTCACATGTGTAGCAGACATACAGAGAGGCTCTTCAGACCACACTGAGTTTACACTACACGGGATCCAGCGCCATAGAGACCGAAAATGTTGGAACCAAAACAGAGGCTGTTTTTAGAGTTTCAGCAGACACAGCCAAGGCCAGACAAGCTACGCCAACACTCATTCACACCACGAGAAACCCAATTTCCCCCCAAAAGCAAAACTGATTTTTGCTTTAATCCTGGTGCCATAAATGGTCTTGCCAACTGATTTATATACAATATTCAAGCAAATGGCTTGTTCTTACAATCTCGTGTTGTGAACATGTTTAGCTGGCACTGGCCCTATTATGAGAAAATGCAGATTGGGATAGTTATACAGAAGAGCCAGACTTGCCTGTTAGCAGGGGGTCTAAGGGAAAAAGAGTCATACTTTGAGTCTTCTTTCTTTCCTTTTACGCTTCCAAGCCAATTAAATAAAGCATGGGTTGAAATATTCCACAGCTCTGGCTCTTTGGGAGCTAGTATTTATAGATAAAACAGATGCTTCTGGCAAATGTAAAGGACTGAAATTTACATCCACTTCATTCCAAATTTTCTAAATACTCTTTCCGGTTATTGTCTGCATCCACGCTGGGTCCTGGAGAGAGAGGAGGAATTGGGAATGTACTGGGAAACCGCAACGAAGCAGGCCAGCCAAGTTCAACAGGGAGTTCAAGGCTAAATCGATGCATATTTCCCTTTTAGTGGTGATAAGTCTAGCCAAATGTACACTCGTCCCTCCGCACAGAATCTCAACCTAAATTAAATAGTGATTAGAGGAGCCTCTTCCATTGGTGGGTATAAATTTCACAAAAGATTATTTGCCTGCTTTGCTATCCCACAAATTCATAGGACTGAATTTCTACCGGTTGCCCAAATTCATTGTCAAAGTTTTAGCAAGGTATGGCTCAGAGCCACTGTTTGTCTAAGGCTGCTGCACTCGAAGGCCTTTGCAGACTACACGAGAAAAGCTTGGCCAGGTCTTCTAAATGTGTTTTCGCTGAAGTGTCCAGGTATATTTTTTCTACAGTCAGAGCTCTAAAGCTGTCTTGGCCCGCTTTGGCTCTGTACATGTGTTAATGCTGAGGAGGTTCGTTCATTTTAGCACCACATTTGATAGTATGTTGACATGTGAAACTCTGGCCAACTCTGCATCCCCCATAGGCCAATGTGCATTGTTCTGGTTTCAGCTGCCTCTGGAGTTCACGGTATGTTTGAACACGCTGTCCAGCCAACATCTTTAAACAATAAAACTGCTGTCTGTACAAATTCACTACTGAAACTACTTGTCTGAAAGAAGAAAAAAAAGACTTAGTAATTGGTTTTATGGGTGCGAAGCACTTATTTACATTAAGTGAAAAATATAATGCTGATATTCGTAAAGAATTCAAGAGTTGGAAAAATGAGAACCAGTGTTTTGGAGGTTATCTGCACTCATCATTGAAACGCATTTGTTTGGCCACAGGGTTTGTGGGGTAAATGAGCCTTGACGATTATTTTCATAAAAAGCAATAAAGACCAGTAATTATAAAAATGCCAATAAGAATTCATCTTTGAAAAATCTATAAAGCTATTAAGTCTGTAATTAAAAAGATGAGCGGCTAAGTCTGAGAAAATTGCATTTTCCTGCACAAGCGACTGTGAAGCCTCATCTCATGTTTGTTTTGCAAATTCCTCAACAAAAACATTAACTTTGAAATATTAATCTGATCTGTGGTATTGATAGGAATCTCCCATTAAAGGCAGAGGCCTGTACTTCATACACATACGCTTCATTAGCTACACCTCGGTTGCAGATCCAAAGGGTCATTAAGCCTCCATCTTGGCAATTACACACACGCCGACACAGATACACCCACTCACGTGCACACAAGAACACAAAAAGAAGTGGTCATTGCACTTTTCAACCTGAGAAACTGTGTAAAGGTAGTCCTTATCCATTAGACATGGTCTCTGTAATAAGCAAGTGTTATTGGCACGCAAACACCTTTTTGACAGTGAATAAATTACAGCTTTACTCACACAGTCAGATGGATGAGAAATTAAACAAAAAGCTGTAAAACCTGAACTCTTCAACAGTACAGTGAGGGTCTACTTTAGCTCTCTCATGTGGAAGGGTGGTACTTTGTTGGTGCAGTTTAGGTCCTCTTGGAGAAGGTCACTCCAAACCTTATCTTTTTCTTTCTGTGATGAAATATCTTTATTCATATTGCACCAAAGGGGTCACTGAATGGTTTGATAAGTATAAAAATATCTCAGTCATATGCTTTGGATCCACTTATCAACCAATATTTTGGACTGATGCGTGACCACCAACCTCAAAATAACAGAGAGTATCTTTTGGAAGAATGGCGTTAACAGTGGTTGAGGTAAAACCTCTGTATTTACATTCATGAAGGATTCTCTTGATTGCAGACAACAAAAGGCCGACTCTACTTTGGCGCGTCCTGGACTTGGTTAGATGTTGGGAAAGAGTTTTTTTATACCAAGAATTCTGCAATCATCAACTTTAGCTGTCCGGTCTGTTCTTAGGGGCCTTTTGGTATTGCTGAACTCGCTATAGTCCTTATCTTTAAGATTGTGTAAGATTTTCAATATGGGCGGTTCTTTGTTATACAAATGCTATACGCATTGTCTCCACCTGTAGAATAAAAAAAAAATCTAATAAACAATACATTCTAATGAACTAGCTGTACTGGAGTTACAAGAAGTCTTGCAAGGCCAGATCTGAATTATAAATGTTTACTTCTCGTTTTCCAGGACTCCTCTCTCATCTCCAACCGCTGCACAACGTCTTGTTTGAAAGGAGTGCGTTTGTGTGTACCTACATCTCCCTCTCATCCTAATGTTTTGATCCAGGGTGTGTGTTCACAGTGGACATTAGGCAATCTCTCAAACCAGTAATGGGCTTTGATTCCCCAGGGTTGCAGTGAGATGGCCACTTCTTACATTAGCCAGTCAGGTATGACAGCGCCACGGCTTGCCTTCCCCTCGGCCAGCCGGGATAAATAATAAATGAAAGTGGTATTTCAGTCCTCCAAATCATCCGCAGGGTCAAGACTCCCTTCTCGCAGTGAACTTTGTAAGATGCGCCGAAGCGCAGCGAGATGCTAAAGGTTAGCGTCTTGGACAAGACAATCGTGCATTCGGCCTGCAAGCACAAGTAGTTTATAAACATCCACCACAAAATCCACCCCCCTAGTTGTTGGTGAGGAACTTCTTTTCCTGCTCCCTGTCTCCTCCCCCTACCTCTGTGGGAGGATGGGGAGACACATGAAGAGGAAAAGTTAGCATTCTCACAGAGCATACATCTGCTGCTAAGCTGGCATTTTGTATTGATTTTTCCTGAAGCCTGTAATTTTGAAAGCTTGTAACAGAAGATGAAGTAAATATCATTTTATTTGCTCAAATGGTTTCAGATTGGATTGGATTGAGATGAAAATGGTGGAGACAGGCAAATCTAGATGAGAAAGCAGCAATTTCACATAATTGTCTTCAGACCTGGTGCCAGAATATATTACCGCTGTTCTAAAACTGTCAAGCCAAAGACCTAGAAATGGACTGGAGTAAGTGAAGGCACTTATTCTTCAAGTCTCTGACATATTTAACTCTCTGCTGACGATGTTCAGTGTGATGTGGTTGCATTTATCCTTTTGTGAAGAGTTCCCTTACTTCAGCTTAAAGTATCAGTTACTCCAATGCAAATTACATCCTTGACACTCACAGAGACTGTGTCAGACCAAGTCTGCAGTGGACTCCAAAGGCAACGTAGGAATCTGACATCAGATGTCGGATTAGAGTCAGATCAGTTTACATGTAGAAACAAAAAACCTCACAGACTAAAACTGGATCGCGTCTGTGTCCCATTCACATGTATCTCTGAAACAACAAATTGTCTCTTAATTTTTTGGTGTGTTGCTGTTTTTCATCTCAGCAAAGCTGACTTCCAAAGCACGACCTTTCACAAATCTCCCTCTGTGCCAGCAAGTGGCAGAGCTGAGTTAATGACTACTGTTTATAACCCCATCTCAGACAGCCATTCTGTTCATTTTTCTATTTACCCTGGAAGGTGAAGTTAACCTTCTTCAGCTCATTGTAGCCAGAGGAGAATGGCAGAGATTAGTGTATTGGTCATGGTGAAGTGAGCATAAAGTACATGACAGGACCCAACTGCATGGACAAGTATGGTTGTTCCCTACAAGGTAGCTGCAACTAGACTCGAGAATTTGTCTTGCAGGATTTATAAAGATGCATACATTTAAAATGCTTTTTAATGTTTCTTTCTGCATATTGCAGCAACAATTTGATCAATACATTTTGCACATTAAAACAAGTAGACAGCGTTTTGTTCCTGCCTGCTGTGATATTACCCGACAAAAGCACTCATCTCCTCCAGAGTTTTCCTTTTCTGTCTGTCTTCATCCACCCATCCTTGTGTTCATTTATCCATCAATCAAGTGGGCTACTCAAGCCAGAAACTCATCAGAACAAAGCAATCAGCTTTGTGCGTCAGTCCTCTTTTCATTAAAGGCACATACAAACCACTGTGCGCAAAGTGTGTATGTGTGCGTACGTGCTTGAGTGTATGCAGCACGAGTGCTTATTTGACGAGGTCAGCTAATTATTTGGCCAGACTAATGAAGGTCAGCGTGTTTATCTGTCTTTGTGCTGATGGTCTGTACCTGATTGAGATAAGTACTCCTCTTCAACCTTCCTGTCATTTGTCATCTTGATTAAGGGACCTTAAGGAATTGAACGGTGCACCTTTATTTAAGACATCTCATACTTTACCTTCATATATTCTTTAACATCATGTTTGTCTTTGCACTCAATGCCTTCAATTTTCTATACATGAACGGTTGAAGGGTCATAATGTTAAACTGCACAATTTAAAAGGAAATACAAGGACCATGGCGATACTCATATTATTCTCATTATAAAATGCTGTAAAAAAAATTGCCCTCTTCAAACAGACATTTGTACACTAAATGAAACTCACCACTAGATTTTTGGTTGTGTCTACTGGTCATACCATTTTCTTGTCACTCATTCAAAGAACTACATTGTCGTGAAAATCCAGGGAAGAGATCTAAAATACATGGACTGCAATTATCTATAATGAAAAGGAACTCTGATGCCAAAGGTATTGTCCATATATATACAGGCTTGTCACAATTGAAAGTGTGTGCACAGAATGGTGCTATTATCATGATGGATGGACCACACCAAATTAGGTAGATTTGATAATAACTTAAATTACATATCCACTTACCTGGATGCTTGATGAACTGAAAGCGACATTGTCTATTATTCTTGTATCATGCATGATTAGCATTCTGTATGAATATGTCGTGGCTGCCTTAGCTGTCGCTCATTCCAAATCATATGCAGGCAATTGTAAGCGTGAGCAGTGGGTTATTGTAACAGACGCAGAGGAGATCTTGACTCTTGTCAGCGCCAGACGTTTAGAGAAGGACAATTGTGACTGAAAGGTTCCATGACTAATTAGATATCCATGTGGAAATAAAGTGGAAAAAATATAGAATTATTATTTTCATGTGGCAAGATAAAGTGGTAAATATGTACATTAATAAACTAGTGGCGCATATAGCTACTACATATCGGGTATAAAGTGTCATACCACTGTAAATTGTGAAGATCTGTCCAATCGCTTATGGGCTAAAGGTGTGTTAAACCAAACTTATATTTACAATATGTTTATGTGACATGACTGAACGTGGTGTGATTTTTTTATTTTTTTAAATTAAGATACATCAGACTAGGGTCATCCCCTTAGGGAACTGATTGCATTCAGAGGACATATATTGTATCATCCCTGGACATTAATAGTTCAGATTTCTGATCAGTTTTAAAATTTGCATAAAATCACACAAATCTGTGTTTTGCTATGATTTTTAGGAATCACAAACAGATGTGTTATTGAGGGAAAAGGGCAAGCAACATGACCTAATAATTATCCAGAAAACCAGCAATAACACTTCTAAATTCCAAAACAATCATCTCAAATTGTTAAAATCATAGCCTGTCAGACTACAAGCAAGGTGAATGTTTAAAAAGAGAAGAGCACAATTGAGCATTTTTTTTTCATGTAAATCTTCACATTTACTTGAAATATCAGTTCACAGAAAACAAATTAGTCACTGTTTCCTCAGGTGGTCTGTTAGTGTATCCAAACACGTTCAAGAAAACACAATTATCCTTCAAACTTTAAGCGCTCATTCTTATGGTGCATACAACGTAATAAGCATGCTGATGTTGAATAATTTCCAAATTAGTGCAAAAGATTGGGGGCTTGTTTTTTTGTTTTTTGGAAGTAGCAAACACTATAAACATTTTTCAAGTTAAATTTATTCATAGAGGGCTTCTGGCAGTCCACATACATGTATTTCTATATTTTTGATATTGAACAATTACAAAAAAATAAGAAAAATAATTCGGCAAAGTCCTACCAGGTGGAAGTCCAGGGTGAAGGCTGGGGGCATGCCGAAGAGATTATATATTTTTGTTGGCTTGGGAACGCCCTGGTATTCCCAGAAGAGCTGGTGGAGGTGGGCAGACAGAGGGAAGTCTGGGATTCGGCTGTTGTCCTCACAGCCCACACCTGGATAAGTAACAGAAAATTAATGGATGGATGGATGGATGGATGGATGGATGGATGGACGGATGGACGGATGGACGGACGGATGGATGGACGGAGTTCCCACATACAATTAGCTACTGTGAACCATTGATGTGATCTGCATTTTGTTGAATTATGTTGCATAAATATTCTGATATAAAATAAACTTTACTTCAAAAAACCATTTCACCTAGCCTGTAATACATAATACAAACACCCAAATATTTATATTTTCCATAAAGATGATGGCAGTCTGTTATCCAAAATTGGTCTTTTATTGAGACAATTAAAAAGAAAAAAATCTGTGAAGGAATGAATCCAAACAATTCTTCACATCTGTCCTAGTCTCTGTCTGGCTACCTCTGCAAGCCCCAGTTCCTAGGCCTCAGCATCTCTAACAAGCAGCGGATACAGCGCTGGATTACTGTAGGCGTTAAATCAATAGCTGCTGGTCTCCCAGGCACAGCTATAGATTATGAATCAGTGTTGGTGAACAGAGCGCCATGGTGGCGAAAGGGAGTAAGGAGACAGAGAGGGGCTGAGGGAGAGAGAGAACGAGTGAGAGAGAGGAAGAAGAGGGGGGAAATACTGATTGGTTGACATCAAAATGATGCATGGTGGTGTCATTTCACCAAAATATACTGGTTTTGAATGACAGTTGTAAATTATCCTTTGTAATTTTGCAACATGGTTAAGTATACAATCACCAGGAAATGAATAATTATGCATTGCATGTATTGAGTTTCAAACTGTCACTTAAGAATAGGGAATCTTATATCACGTACACATAATTGAGCCATACAGGTAATCAGGAATTTGACTCATAATTGAAAGTAAAGAACAACATTTAAGATGAATATTGATTTGACCTTTGCCTTTCTGAGATCTGCGTAATGAATGCAATCTCAAGTTCATGGAGTTCTCCACATACTTAAAATAACAGCAACAATAATTTGTAATTTAACACAGAAACATAGAAGACATGAGGTTTTGTGCACATGCCTGCCAATATCTATATAACTGATCTATGGCCACAGAGCCCATTAACCTGGTTGAACCTGGTAATCTCTGCAGCGAGCACCAATGTTTCCAGTCTTCAGTTTAATTCAAGGCCCTCTGAGTGCTGTTTACAGATGGTATCTAAGTGGCTTGATTCAACTGCCAATGAATATTGGCATGTGCCTACACCCCATAGACCCTGCTATTAGGGGTGGAGACCACAGGGTTAGCCAAACACAAACTGAACATGACATCTCCCTTGCGTCTGCAAGTTCGACAGGCCGGCATTTACACAAACACACACACAGGCACACCTGAGTTCCCACACATGTTTGTACAAAAAAGCTAAAGACGATTCGAATTTCAGCTAGAATATGCAGGCACATATTTCGTGCTCCAAAATTCAAAGAAAATGCAATGTATGTGTACGCATATGTGTAAACCCACACACACACACACACAAATACACAACATCAACCTTGCTATAGGGCAGGTTGCAAGACCCATACTGCCCCCTGGCTCGCCTCGCTCTCTGTGTTTGTTGAGCAGCAGAGATGCCCGAGGAATAACTTGTCTCCCACCACAGATTCGGGATCAGATTACTCTGGACTAGCTCCCTAACCTTAACCATTAGAAGGATAAGAAAATATCTGTTCTAAGATCAGTGGCTTGGGGGATGGAGATGATATTGAGGATCTGTCAAAGGTGACTGAGTTCAGGGTCAGGCCCCCGGGAGCCGTAGGATGGGAAAAAGGTTAACACAGGCTACTGTAGTGCAGGACTCAAGTTAGTGTGAAAAAGAGAAAACTGTGTGATGCTTTGATACTAACGCTAAAGTAATTAAAAAACACCTACAGCAGATAATGCTATTGACTTTGCCACAGAGGACACAAAACACAATGGATTTAGCCATGCTAACCAGTCAGAATCAAATAAAGATAATTAGTTACTTAAGATATTAAAGTCATTATAATATTACCCATTATCTTAAGCTGTTAATTACACCTCAGGTTGTTTAAATAGCTTGTAAAATTTTAAATTAATGCAATGCTATTCTAAAGCACACAGTAGTTGATAAGTGTTCTCTTGCTGGATAATTGTAGAGTGGACACAGTGTTAACTGTTAGCTGCAGAGTCTGGTAGCTACGAGCCACCAGCTGTGTCTGAATGACTGACTCTTGGACGTGGCTGCTGCGCTAGTACTGAGCTGTCAAGGTCAGTTGGGACACGCACACACGTTTGCACATGCACATACACATACACTCGCTCCGAGATACGCACACACATACACCCAGCACCAGAATGATTAATCTGTCAATCAATGCTTCTATTTCCTGCGGTGAGTCCTCCTCTTTTCCCTGCAAGGTTCCTGTGAACAGAAACGAGAGCTTGCGAGATTGGTGCGTGCGTGTCACTTTTTCATCATCTGTGTTTGATTTGTGCAATCAGAGCCCATTCTAAACATTTTCCACACAATGCCAGTGTAGCGCAGCTGAAATGCAGAACATTGCTTTGTGGTATCCAATCTCCTTATTCTACATGGCCACCGTACACAACACTGAGTTTTCATAGCGTATCTATTTCACTGCAAGCTGGTCTGATGATGGCAGCCAGGAGAGAGCTGGCTGTCGAAAAGACTTGCGACTACTGAAGCCATTTGGCAGAAATGAAATGACAAAAGATGCACAAAACACAGTAGGAGATATGTTTGGAAGACATGCATACTGTGTAGTAGCAAAAAGTCGAATGGGAAAGTCATCAAATGCAACTCAGGTCCAATGTGTAGTATCTAACGCTAAATAAAACACATGTTTAATGCTAATGCTAATGCTAATTCCAAGTATACTAGCATCTGTTGTGGTTTTGAAGAGCATGACATTGGCCTATATGCTATTCAGAATTACCATAGACTGTATACAAATGATGAATGAAGCCGTGTGACGTCACTCACTCGAAGTCCCCTTGTAAAGCCTTAAGCTGACAACACAATAAAAATCAATATGACAAGTGACTGGCCGATCTGACACTGCATGCCTGTAAATTAGTGGTTTGTCAATCACAAGGTAGGCCCGCCCTAAAAAATTGTTTGTTTATTGACCTTTTTGAATCTAACATAATTTATCATCAGTAAGATCATTAGTAAGACTAAAAACTACAAACTCATCTGGAAAGGGCTTAGTCAAGTTGTTTCCCCCCCGACCTCCCCCGACTTCTTTTTGTAGCCAGAGTGGTCGCCTCCTGCTGGACATTAGGAAGAATGCAGCTTAGAGTTACTTCGCATTTTTGGCTTGGATTGGTCTAAAATGCCTTTTATATATACTCTGTGGAAATTATAAATATTATAATGAGAAAACAACGTTGAATTATAAAAAAAGATAAATGACCAATACCTTTAGCAACAAATATTTCCATTAGCAAAATTTTCAGTCTAAGTCGCATACATATGGATTTTGCTTCAACACTGAACACTGAGCTGAATTGAAGCTGCCACAACTATGTGTAAAATATTTAATTAATAACATCCATAAAGCTGCACTAAATCATTTCTCTCTAAGAAGTGGCTCAGTTTGATAATAATTTATCCCGATCGTATTTTTTCAATTTATATTCTTTCATTAAGTGAGCGTATTAAAGTACTAAATGAATTTCATCACATTTGAAGCATTCAGATTTAATGAAGACTGTACAAGTATATACATCTAATTAACTGCTGAATTTAGACTGTATTTTTTTCAATTACACTAATTTTTTCTAGTAAATTAAATTTTGCACTTTTGCAAACATCACATGAGATGCGATTCATGTCCTTTCACTGTGTATTTAAGTCTCTGCTTACATTGTTTATCATAACCGTGCTCTTCATTTTAATATTACAGCATATTCAGTCAGATTTACAGCTCAGTCTCAGTCTGAACACCAATGTTAGTGCATTACCTCTATGATTACAACTATTACCACTTCTAACCGCCATTACAACAATTCCAACAACCCTGCTTTTACTACAGTAACACTAATAACATATAAATCTAAGCTGTCTGGCACCAGTCTAACAAACTTAATCTTGCTTTATGTGCACTGTAAGTATACTCCATTCGATTTAATTTGATCATATTTCTAAAGATGCCCTAAGAACATGGTGTTCAGTAAATGCTTGTGCCACTGCTATTTGTAACTAATCACCTCTTCTCTTTCTTCGTCATGCCCCTCTACTCTCATTCCTTCTCCCCATCACTTAATTTCTCGACCACCCACTGCCTTGCCAGTGCTAATTGCGAACGACCAGTCGAGTTGAGGAGGGAAAAAGTTGGAAAATGGGGGACAAAGCCCATTAGTGCTTTATTGGGTGTGCTAAAAGAGTTAGCCTTATTCCATGTGATCCAATCCGAGTCAATCACATTGGGAAAATTGGATTCCTGAATAAGGAAATCCCATGAGGGAGGTTAGGCTGTCCATCTGGATCAGCAGAAGACACTTCTTCTTCTCTTCCTTTGCTCCGTCTTTCATTCTCTCCACTGAGGCACTGCGCTTGGTGAGATTCTGTTCTCACTTTAGTGAACCAATAGGGCCATAATAAGTATTGATTAAGCTATTAGCCAACATTACCCAGGCACTGGCAGAGACTGTGTTTAGAATCAGCACCTCAGGAGTCTGTCACACCGTGTCACACACACGTACACAAGAACACGCACACACAGTTTTGAGAAGCTGATTGGGTGTGCTGTCAGGTTAGTTAGTTACTGAGGCGACTAAACTACTATTCTCTTATCTATTTCCCTCTGACTCCAAGTGCACATCTTTTACCTCTCTATCTATCCCTGTAACTGAACTCCAATCAAGTAAGGCCACAGTCCAGAATACATGGTGTTTCAATGAGATGGGTGTGAGTACGCCGCACACACATGTGAGGAATCAGATAAAAGAGGCTTGATTACAAAGGACAAGGTCATAGTGAGGAGTGACACAGGTTTGGAGCTAAGCTTTCA